CAAATGTTTGTCTAAAAATACTATTATAATATTATTCTACATATTATTATACCTAGGACTGATGTTTTTAACTGCACTATAAGTTTTTAATAAGTAGTATGATATATTTTATTTTTATTGATTATTTTTATATTATTATTGTTTTTAACCAACTCTGATATTTTTAATAATGAATAAACATTACCTATTTATGTGGAACTGTTTAGTGAAGTTTATGAACTACTACTTAATTCTATATGGGAGGCAACTCGTATATAATTATGAACTACTTGGTCATCGGAGGAAACTAGTGTAAATTAACCTTTTTATTTACGATAAGGATGGGAGGCAATTCGTATATTTTGGGAGGCAAATAGCAGTGGCGGCGCGTGAACAATTTCATAGGGTAGACAACAAGACAACCAAAGATATGGTGTTATATAAAATTTATTTAAAAATTAGATCATCATAAAAAAAAGTAAATTACATAAAATAACTATATTTGAATATAATTTAAATCAATTCGCCGATTTTGTTTTGTTGCGAAAAAGAACCAAGACCTTTATTTAAAATAATATCAATAATATTTGACATATTAAGTTTTAAATGTATATCACTTCATTAAGAAAAAATGATAAACATTAAACATGTGCCATTAACCACAATCGGAATGCAAATATGCAATTAAATTACTAAAATATTACGTTGAGACATGTCTCGTCCATGCATATAATTTTGGTAATACCCCACTACGTCCCCGTTTACCATGTCATAAAGCCCTCGTCATCAATAGTGAGACACAATTCAATATGTCTCGACCGATTTGACGGCGACAACGGAGCGATTACATAATTATCGATAAGATATAAATAAAATTATACTATATATATATTTAGTCATACTCGTTAGTCGTTACTCACACAGACACTGTAGAGACGAATCAGTGTATATAACATTTTATTTATAAAATTATGAACAAATAAAATACTTATATAGTAGGTATAGTATCATAATATAATAAATAACTAATTTTTTAAATTAAATTGTTTTATATTTTTGCCTTTTGGGATTTTTGGGTAGACTATGTCTCATTGTCTACCCTAATGCGCCGCCACTGGCAACTAGTATGCGCCGATTATTACAAATAAACGGTATTTAAAAAAAAAAATAATATAACGAATACGGTCGTATAGTGTAATTTATACATTTAACTTGTAAAATAAACTTAATTGATATTTTGATTTATTAATTATTAGTAATAAATAGATATGAAAATGTTCAATGGAATTTAATATTAAGTAGGTAATCATAATATTGTATTATAATCCCGTAATTTCTTATTATTTGTTTGTAAACATATTGATAATATCGATACATAGTGATAAATTTGTTATATCTAATTTTACTGTAATATTTAATTAAATGTGTATAATTTCAATAAAATTTAACCAAATTTGATTTTATTTCAACGAAATATTTTTTACACTAATACTAATGTACTTATAGATAGTTTTTAATTTATTGTTTAAATAATATATTCCATTACTGATTTGTTGTACACATTATGATATTTTTGATTAAATTAAATTAAAAATTTTATCTGTTGAATTTGAACAATATAAAATATTCTCAGTCATATAATTATAATATTGTTAATTATCAATCTTATATTGATATATTAATTGTCAGAAATTTAATTTTGGATAAATTTCTAAAATGCTTGTAACTTAATATTTAATTTTAAAAACAACTTTAATTTTTTATCGATATAAAACAAGCTTGAAATAATTTTTAATTAAATTTATAATTATATTTCATTAGTGTTCTATTTATAATTTTAAATAATCTTTATAGTTAATACTTAATTTATACATATATTATACATTTTAAATTAATCAGTGGCGTTGTAATACAGCAATCTATGAATTGCAGTAGAACCAAACTATGGATGGAAGTACACAATGTAGTGATATATATATATTAACAAAATTAGTGTTTTGTTATTGAAATATTATTATAATTTTTATTCCATTATTTTTTATCTATGTTTTTAACCTACCTATTAAAATACTTAGTTTTATTTAAAAACATACATTTACATAAACTGTAAGTTACATTATTTATTTCACGTATAATAAGATAATTAGATGTAATGTAATTTATATATAGATATATACATATTACATGATATAGAAATCAAAATATGAAAAATAGTGTGGAGCGATGCTATTTCTAATGGGCAATAAAAACTATTGCAAACAATCAAGATGTATCTGTATTAAAGTATCGAATAAAATGCATTACACATGATAACCGCATAATCGCACATATAGGGAAGATTTTTCTATTATTTTTTTTATTTTATTGATTGCAATGCACTTAATTTATTATCATTTTGCTATTACAAATGATATGGTTAATGCGATTTCACATTATTTTACTACTAGGTAAGAAGTATTTTTATTTTTTTGAAAATAATATGCACTTAGTAGTTGCATTAAAACACATTTCTAATTTTTTCTTACAACACACATACAATTATATATCTAGTCTTATTACTTGTTCAGTGATAATTCACGAAAGCCAGATGTAAAATTAATTAATTTTCTGATGATATGAATTTTAGATTTAATAATTTCTTATCTAGATGTAAGGTATTTTGGTTAATTTTATTAAAAAAAATAATCGGCTGAATCTTAGAAAGGTAACCTGTAGATTTTGAAATGAGAAAAAGATTTATGTTTCATATCATCAGAATTTCGATTTTAAATATTTAAGTATAAACCGAAATCTCCTTGTAATAATATCCATACAATATAAGACCTTTCAGAAAAAGAAATCGTGTAAGACAATGGATTTGAGTATACTATACAATATGGCTATACTATGTATTCTGTAAATATAAGATTGGATGATATTATGGTCATGGAAAATAATTTTATTTACAATGTTGGTATATGAATTTTATATGAATTTTTATGATTTGGTTTATTCAATTAATAACTTCAACTATGTAGGTTACGACAAAATCATGTACGTAACCTCTTACATAAATCACAAAAAAAGTAAAACTCTGGGTCGTTAAAAAAAAAAAATCACTTTTAAATTGGCACTTAAATCTGAAATCGTTATTATTATTTTATTTATACGTATAATATTGTTTTTTAACTTATTGATTTGATACGAAAATATTTTTTTAGATTAATTGTTATACAGTAACTAATAAATACTATAATTCATAATATTTCTAGTTTTAATTTTCTTACACCTATTAATAAAACTGCGTGAAACCGATTTGATAATATAATTGTTTATAAATTTTTTTTTTTTTTAATTTTTAAAATATTATTTACAGACGATTATTGATTATATAAACATTAAATTTATTTTATACTTTAATAGAGTAATAGTTTTACAATAATAGTTTGAAGAAAATTGGTTTTCATTTGATTTTTTTTCTTTAAGAATTAATCTTAGTACATAGAAAAGTAACAATATCAATCCAATAAAGGTTCCGTCACTAAAATCGTTTTTCTAATGAACGTATCACCTCTACTCTCAGTATGGTACAATAAAAATAAATCACTAACTGGATAAAGTAGTACCGTGCGGGACACAGATAATTAATTGCAAATCATCGGTTAATCCGACTACAACAGATTCTGTAAAATAAGCAGTGGAATATTTCGGTAATTTATATTTCTATATAAATATAATACCACAATTTTTATATTAAAGCTGAATTTTTATAACTTCTTCTTTTCAAATGTTATATGTTTTTTTACGTGGGAACATAAAATATTATTTATTTTTTTTTATATATTTTATTATAAAACAACTGAAGAAAAAAAACTAGACGTAATGCAAGAATGATAATAAAATACGCATATTTTAAACGTATATATAAAATTGTCTTTTTTTATAAAGTACATTTAGAAGTTTTTTTTTTTAACTAGTAATCTTTTATACTTTTAACACTCTTATGCATATTAGTAAATACAAATAAGAATTTAATTTAAATAAAAAAATATATCGAAGTATAAAAACATTAAAAACACACAACTTGTGGTAAGATTTTAAAACATATGTATGTTTCTTTGCTATATGATGTATATACAAATTCTTTGAAAAAATTTTAGTTTTTTTTTCATGAATAACATAAAACTATCCTTTAGAAAAGAAAGTTTGGTGATTATCGATAAGACTAAAATGCGAAAATCGTATATTAGCGTATGTATTATCCCTTGTGTTTTTGACGAGTTTTAAAAATACTTACATAAAGAAATTGACTTAAAAGACCACTCGCTATGCAGACATTTTCCATAGTTTAAATAAAATCATGATAGTTAAACAGAAATAAAAAACAATAAATCTTACTGAAATTTGTTTAAGTATTCGCGTCAAGTACGCATTACTAGCTAGGTAGATATAGGTCGAATTGTTAAACATTAAACACTATTATTGATTTTTAATATCTCATTCAATATTTGATTTGTATGCATTGCAATTATCAAAATTCTATAATCCAACTTCCAACTTTCCCATTGGAAATACAATGGGATTGTCAGTTATATCGGGTCCATAGACTTCTTATTAGATATTAAAGTGTCATTTATCGTGGTGAGTTTTAGATTTAAAAAAAATGTTCTACTAAAAATTAAAAACTCTTTAAAAAAAACTTTTTTTTATCCACGTTTTTGCCGTAATCTTAAAGTTTCATTTAGCCACACGGTACCGATTGCATTGAGCCGTGGTAAAAAAAAAACAGACATACAACGCTCCCGCACACACCTATATATATATATAACTTATGCGTGAAACCATTGCCTTCCGACGTCTCCAACCCCCACGGCAAACGCCACTACCAACCCCTCACCATAGCCATTTTCAACCTCCACCCACCAACCTTATCGTCGATGACTGTCTTTGTCGCTCTTCCACCATTTAATAGAGTTCGCTGATAGCGTCGGCATCAGCGCACACTCCACCCAGTACCATAGGGGCAGTGTAGGGCACGCGAGTACACCGTGCACACTACTAGTGTGCCCGTGACGAAAATCCACCGCAGTCCTTACCAATACCACTGTCATACACGTTGTGAATATCCTTGTCTTATAGTTCGCAGGATTTCAATGTAATTTCGAATACGCGCGTGACCGACAACAAAACAAAAACTCTAAGGAAAATTTGGTTAAGTAAAAAAAATTATAAATTATTTTCTAAGTATCCGCGTGCATTCGAGTTCGTGCAACAATGTTCCGAGTCCGGCGTCGATGTTAATTATTATTATTGTTATTAACTGACGACTGTGTTTTGCATAAATTCGCCTGTCACATACACGCATATATGTTTATATAATCTTAATTTAGTGCCTCAAAAATATATTATTTATATTAGCCGTGCAGGCCTTGCGTCATCACGCTGTCAACGAGTATCAGGATCGCCGCCCGACCCAAGTGAGTGATTTTGTACACACAAAATATTTTTTTATACCATACGGAAACACGTGTGGTGAATCTCGTTTGATCGATTGTTTGAACTTACAAAAGTATGGTGGTATTGTCTGAACAAGACCGTTCTCAAAAATTTGTTGAACATTTATTTAACGCCGTTTAGATACGACACCGATTATCATAATTGTATTATTGTTTTTATATAGTTTGTATAGATGAGACTTGTTGCCTTCTATCTCCTCATGTAAGTGCTGTTTGATTTTCGTAACGGAATTAATCAGTACACTTTTATGGTAAGTGGAAGTAAATGTGATTGATACGTGCACATAAATTACACATACCATTGGTTTTTTGTTAACAGGATGTAAAAAAAAAAAAATAAAAGCATGGAGTTTTATAATTTGTTACGACTAATTGATAAATACCCAAGCAGTGGAATTTGAATGGAGTCTATGAACAATAGATCATAGTATAATGTATTAGAGAGATATAGTATTATACAAAGTTAAGTTTTCATAACGAACGTAAACATTTTAAAATTATATGCCCAAAGATAACCTATAAAATAAAAGAACAAACAATTTATGAAATTGAGTTGTTTCATTGTATTAAGAGGTATACTGGTATAAAAGGTTAAAAAGCAGTTAGCGTTAGTAAAAACTCATTTTTGTACAAAAATGTAAATAATGAAAGGTAGCTAAGAGTTTTGTAAGCATTCTAATATTTTGATATAAAAATCTATAACTATCAGTCTTTATTTGTGTTAGGAAATTGGTTAATAGTAAAACAAAATAAAAAATATTTTTCAGATTTTTTATAAGAAATATTATTGGTAAAAATGATGAATAAGTTTTTCATGTCCAAAATAAATATAAGTTTAGTATGCTAAATTTTGTTATATATTTTAAGTTAAAAATAAACCTATTAAAAAAAAAAAAAAAAAAATTGTACGATAATATTAATTTAATTTTTGAAAGTAAAAAAGTTATGCTAATTGTTTACTAGAATATTAAAATTAAATGTGCCTATGTAAATGTAAATATATTGAACACGTAAATACATATTATTAAAAGGAAACCCTAGATTAAATAGGATATTTGAGCTACAAAAGATTATAAGAAAAGTAACATTGAAATTAAAAGTGTACAGTTAATTCCAAGCAGGGATTAGGTTAAAATTGTAAAATCCTAAAATTAAAAAAAAAATATTAAATAACGAGTTATGCACTATTAATTTACCTACATGATACATGATATTTATCACACAATTATTATTATTGACAAACTCGAAAGTTAATGAAGTATAGCAATATATAAGCGTAGAAAAATATTGATTAGAGCGTGTACACAATCTAAATAAACAATATTTAAAAATAGGTACAAGAGGGATATTTATACATGAGACTAAGATAGATAATAATTTGTTAATATATTAAAGGAATACAGATACATGATAAAATTAAATACTGATTAATATACATTTTTATTATTTTTATTTTTATTTAATTTTCAAAAAGATGATATGTCTGACTGAACTTGTTCATATGGGAGTCTATGAGTTCACATTTTGAACTATACATTGAAAAATAAATAGTATATTTAATAAAATTACAATTATAATACATTTTTTTGTATAACTAAAACATAATTATAATTAAATACATAATATTTATTATTATTTCTATTTAATGTAACATTATTTATAAAATAGTACAGTAAAAGAATGTAATATGAAGTAATACAAATATTAATTATTATTGAAATAATTGTTTATTATAGTAATTTAGTAATGTTGTAAACCTGTTGTACTACTGTATTTTACACCTGTAGAAGCCATAGTGCAGTTTTTTTCTAGAATTTTAAATGAGTTGCTATGTTTAATTTTTAATAGCAGTTTTTTGTACTCGTAAATAGTTGGACTAATATAATATAAGCATGTGGATTGTATTATATTTATAAGCATGGTTGATATTAAATGAAAATAATGTTTATTATTTTATTTTGAATTTTATTAATGAGTTTATTTATACGTTCTCCCCATATAAATATTCTACAATTAATTATGAATTATATTATTGATTGATACATAACTTAAACTTTCTTAAGTTTCAAGAAATTTGTTAGATTTTTTTAAATTGTTTGTTATTTTTCTTGTTTAATTTGTTATCAGTTTTATATAGCTATTTAATTTAAGGCTATTACACATTTCTATGCCTAATTATTTACAGTTTTGACTATCTTAATGAAAGCTTGACAATAATTACATATATATTTTAAGGAGTAAATTTTTTTCGTATAAACATTTTTGAATTTTTCTTAAGTTGCTATATACATTAGAAAATATCTCATCTCAAGATTGCCCCTCAATAAAAATTATTATATCATCTGCATAAAAAACTAGTTTAATGTGTGTATTAAATTCATTTTTTTGTTTTATATGTATATTAAATAGTGTAGGAGATAGAGTAGTCCCTTGGGCTACTTGATTATTATAATGATAAAGTGTTTTTAAAAATAAAAACGCTTAATGTAGTACATAAGTAAAAAATTCACTTAAGCTAAAAGATAAATTAGGATGTATGAAATTTATTTTGAATGACATCAATGGATGTGTATTAATTGAACAAATACTGTTATACAGTTGAATATTATGACTGAAATTTTGAAAATTATTCATCTAATTATAACTAAATATTTATTTATTTTGGAAACTTCTGAAAATTGAACTCATTATTAGTAGTGGACGTTTTTAAATTCCCTGTAAAAACTATACATGTAATATAATTGTTTTAACATCTTAATAATGAAAATTCTTATTAATAGTTAATCATATTCTGTAGGTGTGTATACTAGAAACTGGATCTAATTTAAAATTGAATTTCACATTAAGGAACATGCTATCGATACTAGGAAATAAAAATGTATTTATTTTTTATGTTTTTATATGATTTGTAAATATTATATACTATGCAGATTTTAGAATAAATATAAATTAATCTTAATTAAATTCATATTTGACAAACAAAAATTAATGAAATGTAAAACATAAAATATCTATAAATGTAATATTTAAGTCAAAATATAATTAAAATTATTTTGAAGTTAATATATATTCAACGATCTAAAGGATTAAAACAGATGGATTTTAGTAAAAGTATTTAATTTATGTTCAGATTTGTTTTTAAGCTTTTATCATTTTAACCTTTAAAAATAAGTATAATATAAGCGAAAATTATCTGTAAGGAAAATGAGATCTAAGACCGTTTTTATATTAATCATAGGTAACTCCTTTTTCTATTAAATATTTGTTTTTTTTTTTTTTTGTTACATATACATATTTATATTTATTAAATGTTTCTTATAATAATGGTTATACATTTTTACATAGAACAATTATTACTTAATTTATATTTCCACAATCTGTTACATACAGGTTATTGAACAATAAGTGAAATTGATGAATTAAATAACTATAGTGTAAAGGACGGATTAAAGATACCTTCCAGTGAAGGCACTTTTACCAAATGTAATATTAATATTAAAAAATGTCATAATACTTTTATATTAATAAAAGATTTTATAATAATTACCTTTATAGTACAATTTATTTAGTTATACATGTTATAATTCATTAGTATGTTTGCTTATTAACTTTTTTAATTAAAATAATATAATTAAGTATTATATAAACATAAAATACAATGTATTTAAAGTGCTAATGCCAATATTTATAAGGGACTAATGTGTATCCCCTTAAATATTTTTAAATTGACAAATAAAAGGATTGTAGTGAATTTTTTGTGACTACATTTTTAAGCTACACAAAAATAGGATTAAAATTAAGATTATAATTTATTTACTTCACTTTAAGTTAAACCGATTGTTTAAGTCGTCGTGACCCGTCTTTTAAATAAAATTATATAATATATTTGTTCTCTTGCTTTTGTCATTTTAGGTGTATGATACAATTAAAATATTGAAATTAATTGCTTAATTTATTTTTTATAACATTATTCATTAAGATTAATTATGTGAAAAATGCAATTTAATGAATAAAAATAATCACGAAAAACTTTAAGAAGTTTAAGTTTATTCAAATAAATTACTTAAGGTGATAATAATTTAAATAATTTAAATTAATATATTATGTTTTTAATTTAAAATTTAAAATCGAACCTAGATATTATTTTTCAATGGTTATGCATTTATACAAATTAATATGTTATACTGATATTTATGTAATGTAATTTTCATTGCCTTATAACTTATATGTATAAACATATTTATTTGTATAATATATGTAAATACTAAAAACTTAAATGTCAATTTTGTGTTAGCAGTGCTATGAAAATAATATAACATTATTTAGATTATTTTCTAACATTATAATAAAGAAGTTCATGATAATATGAGTCGAGCTATCATGCCATGGATTATAAATAATATAATTTCTGTAACACGGCACTTTGTATAGGCAATTTAGCACAATATGTGTATATTTTTATCAACTATGAGTTAATTAATCATTAAACATAATAATAATATTAAATTCACAAAATTGTATTAATTACCTATGTACAAAAAGTTTTTACGAATTTTTGATTTGAAAATTATTTATACTAACCTACTATAACAAACGAGGTTTTGAATAAATATGACAATGAATTAACATTTTTTTTTTTTTAACACAGTCATCATGAAATTATTGATTTTCTAAATGAGTTATACATTTTTATTAAAAGATACTTTTAGCAGCAGTGAAAATCGGGAGAAACTCAGCGATATTGATTTACATTATTTATTAGTTTTATTTAACTGATAATCTAATTTTGTAACACATTGTTATATTTCACATCAATGAAAATTATAAGATTTACAATTTTATATAAGTAATAAAGTAGTTTTTCTTATTTGCGTGAAATTAATTAGTGAATTTCTTATTATTAGATTAGTTATAAAGAAATGTTTTGATACTTTTTCGATATTAATATTAAGTGATATATT